AAAAAAAAAAAAGATCAGGCACTGTTGATTCCAGGTTGCAGAAATGTGATTTCAAGATGTGATGACTGAGGCCTCAAGAGAGGCAGGCCTCGCCCAAGGTTGCTCCGTAGTGACGACACCCTTACCTTGCTATTCACTTTCAGATAATGCAAACAGGATGAGAACAAAGTGGAGGTCCGTGGTGCAGATTCTGGCTATAAGGGGCCCAACATGGGTCAAAGTCAGAAATAACAGCACCGTCCCTTCCTATGTGGTCTTGGGGGCAAGTTATTGAGCCACTCTGAGCTCTAGTTTTCTGTCTATATAATGGAAATGATAATAGTAGCCTGCTCCTAAGGTGGTTGGGAGAATTAAATATTGGAAATAACAGTGTCTGGCATAGGACTGTCTTGTCTTCCTGGCTCTAAGCCAACACCTACAACCTGCCAGACTGACTTGCCCAGCCTGTAGCCTCAGACTATCCTAAGGTGAAACCTCATCATTCAATGCTCACACTCCTTCAACTGTATCCCCAGGGCCCTCCCCATTCAGCCCTGCCTCTCCACCCACACCTCCCACTGATCCCCAAATCCACTTTCTCCATCAGATTGGTGCTCTCCCAGCTCCTCCAGTATACTCTTCTGACAACTGGGTTTTTTTTTTTTTTTGTCTGTTCAACATCCCTTTTTCTGTTGGGGAACCAACTCTTCCACACTCATGTGATTCTGGAAGAACTGCATCCCTCACTCCCTAGGGTGGTGGGCACAGGATGTAGACATGTGACTCTGGAAGACCATAGTTCCCCATCTCACTGTCCCCAGTAATTGGTCCTAGCTGGTGGGCATGAGCCACAGCAGGGCCGATCACAATCATTCTAAGAGAATACTGTATAGATGTAGAGAGGGACAAGGCATTTCTGGATCTTAAGGATAAGGAATAGGATATAAGGGCAACTGCAAGTTGTCTTTATGCTACCGAGAGATAGACTGTGGCAGGGGAGAATAAAGCCAACTTATAAAAAAGCAGTACTGAATGAGGGAGCAAGGGACAGGCTCAACAACACTTGTCTGGCCCCTAGATCCAACTGTACAAGAAACTGAACTTTAGGTTCCCCAGTTGTACTAGTCAATTCCCTCTCACCCTTGACTAAGCTGGTAAGTATTTGAGGGTCTGTCACTTGTGACTCAGTCTTGATAATGGCATGAGTGCATGCGTGACTTAGTATACTAATGGGGACCTCGAGCACATTACCCACTTAATCTGAGGCTTCCATGAGTCGCTCCCTGTCCAGTGTCAAAGATAAATAAAGTTGGGTACTAGTTCAAGATTTTAACTAGTAATATATTAGTGCAGTAGGGAAGAGGGCCCAGTATGAACTGAAGGCAACTTCGATTTGTACAGAAGTGACTGGGCATTTTTAAAAGGGGACTGAGGTGTAAGAGAGGGAACGGCAGGAGCTTGAACAGACTCAGGGAAGTGAAAAATTACAAAGGCTTGGCCAGTGAAAATGCTGATCAGGCCCTCTGTGTCTGCTAGCGGGCAGCAACTGATGTTAGGCTTCTGTCCTCCCATAGGAGACTGGGAGACAGAGGCCCAGTCCTCCCTGAGGGTTATATTTTTAAGGAATGGTTTTCAGGTCCTGAGTTGTAGAGGTTACAAATACACTTCAAAGGGAAGGATTCATGATCATAAGCTCTTTTCAGTAAATGCTCTAAGACAGGGTAGTGTATGGGGCCTCCTCAGGTGGTGGCTGAAAAAATGAGTAAATTCTTTGGCAGCCTTGAGCTTTCTCAGGCATGCACTTTAAGGGGGGTTAGGATACTAGGGGTGCAACCTTGAGCTGTTAGAAACTGTTAGTGTTTGTGGGGGGAAGAAGGTGGACAAAAATCACATGAGCTGAGAGCCTAAGATAATTTTTACAGGTCAAGTTTGAGGCCTAGTCCGGAAGAGGGCTCAGAGGAGCCTGGCTAGTTTGGTCAAGGTTAGAGTCTTTGTCTCTGGGCACTAGGTACACAGCTGCCTGGCATGTGTGGGAGTTCCTACACTGCTGTAGCTACACAGGTGCCTCCTGCTTCTCCCTGGTAGGGCCCTCAGCCTAGGATGTCGTTCTGTGAGCCCCCGAATGGCCAAGCCTGGTGGTCTTGTCTTTGCTGGATTCCACTCATGTCTCCTCTTGCAAGAAGGATGCCATGCTGCATACGAATGCCATGCTGTCTCTTACCTCTACACGTGCTTGTCCCTCTCCCTGAAGCACTGTTACGCAGATAACTCCAGCCTCTCCTGACCCCCACTATCATCAGCCCACAGGAGGTGCCCTTCTGGGGTCTCTGCTCCCTGGGTCGTAATCTCATATTTATCTCAATCATCATGCCAAGCCATCCTGGGCAGTGGCCATGTTGGTCTGTTGCCAGCTGTACCCTCAGATGTCTGGACACAGTGGTACAGAGAGAACACAGAAGAAACATACTCCAGCCCAGTCTGCTGCCACTTGTGCCCAGGCTGCAGTTGACCAACACCCCAGGCTGGGCAAACAAACCAGCTGAGTACACCCTCCCCACCAGATACCCACACTCAAAGCCTGCTTCTCAAGCCGGCCTAAGCCCTCTCCTGATGCCATCCGTTCTGCAAAAAAGACACTCTGCTCTTCTCCACTTTGCACAAAAATGTATTTCTGTGACATCCCAAAGTACAGACATTTCCCAGGCCCCAGGTGGTAAAGCAATGCAACATGAGCTCGCCTGGGGTCTGGCTCAGGCCACGTGAGCACGGAAGAGACAGATGCCGCCCACTTGCCAAGCTGGGGGAATGCAGGGCAACTGCCCGCATCCCAGGGCTGGGAGCAAAGACTACAGGAGACACAGAAGTGCCCCTACCCTGGGCTGCCCATCCAGCCTTTTCTGCCTAGGGGCAGAAATGCTAGAGGAATCAAAAAGCCCAAGGAAGTGGGAGGGAAGAAAAGCCATCCCCCAAGGGCTGCCTGCAGAGTGAGCCTTGCTCCCCAGACCCCTTGTTCTGGAGAGGCCTCCTCCCCTTCTGTCCCGAGAAGCAATTTGGATTACATCAAGGGAAGACCACAAGATATTCTGAGACACATTTGTGGCTCACACTTCTCCAGAAACACGCAGAGGTTCCCAAGGTAAAGTCTGGGGCAGAGTGGGAGCGACTCAGGAGCGCTGAGTGGGGCCGCTGCAGGCTGTGCCGGGCGCTGGTCTGGAGGCAGCTGCCTGTTGCTGCTGGGGAAGGCTGGAGTGGGGGCCTCCTGCCTGTGAGAAGTGTGGGCTCCTCTGGGCAGTGGACAGATGGGGTGAATGAGGCAGGCTCAGTTCCGCTGGTGGGGTGCCCGGTGGGCACCTTGGGTGTCGTGGGCAGATGAGGGCTGGGGAGTGAGGGAGCCAGCCCCTGGCCCCAGAAGGTGCTGGCTTCCAGGGCTGGGGGCAGGTTCTTGAAGTGTTTGGCAGAAGAGGCAGTGGCACCTGCCTGAGTTCGGACCAGCCCTGGGCTGGGGCCTTCAACAGCCTGGGACCTGGTGGGAGACTAGCAGGCAGCCTCCATAGCAGCATGGCCTCAGGCAGGCCAGGCCAGAGAGCAGCAGGGCCACTGTGAACCCCTCTCCTCGAGGGTCCTCTGGGGTGGCCTGGGCCTGGGCCCAGCTGCCATGCCCCAGATGGCCCAGAGCTGGGAGCACCAAGGCATTCGGGAGACCCTCCCCAAGCCCCATCAGCCACACCCAGGAACCCAGATGCGGCCCTCAGGCTTCGTCAGGGAGGTTAGGGAGTGGAGAGGGCCACAAAGAGCCTGCGGCCTCTCCTAAAAGGAGGTGAGGCTAGGGACTGAGGTTACCGGAAAGGACCAGACACGCGTCAGAGGCATTTAGTCTGGCCGGGGCAGGAGTGAATGTGGCAGCAATGAAGGCTTTGAGTGGGGTCTTGAGAAGGGCCTAGGAAGCTGCAGGGATTCAAGGAGTGTTTCTTTTGTCTTTGTACAGAAATCATACACACAAAACTTCACACTTCCTAACCAAAAAAAATAATAATATATCTCACTAATGTTAAGGAAAAGCGTCGGTTGTGCAAAAGTCTCCCTGTGTCCCTTCATCCAGTGGGAGGCTCCCGGGTGGGGTCTGCCAGCTGGGCTGCTGGGCAGCACTTCCTCCCAGCCTTGTGGTCCAGAGAAGTGGCGGCCGCGCAGGCAGAGGCCTCTATCTGGACGTGTCCATGTTCTCCTCTTTAAAGTTACTGCAGTGCTCAATCACCTTGCTAGAGACAATGGGAGAGAGAGGCCTGGAGGAGGAGCTTGGGCTGGACTGGGCCAGGCCCTTCCTGGCAGATGAGGCCACTGGATTTGTTAGTAAATGTAACAGGGCTGCTGCTGCTGACCGAGCTGTATGGACAAAGTGGCTGGCAGCCCAGGAAATGGTACCTGTGGCCATGAATATCACCTGAACCCTGTCTGCCCCTCCGTTCTCCCCAGCCTCTCAGCTGCCGGGCATCTGAGCCCCAAATGAGCTCAGGCCTGACCTCCAAGAACGTCTGGCTCTTCCTTCACCAGATTCCCCAGAGATCCTCGTCCAGCAGCAGGGCTGGGTAGGTAAGGGCAGCTGTACAGCACAGGGGGCCCTAACACCCTGCAGTGGCCAGGCCCTGGTGCAGCATTTGGCAGCCACTGCTTGGGCTCAGATCTGGGGTCTCACACCCACTTCAGTCTAGGCCTTGGGATCTGCTGCCCCACTGTTGTGTCACCCTGGACCCTCGATGGCCTTCTTGTCCAACATTAAGCCTCTGTGTTAGCCTGGTTCGGGGCGGGTTGTTCCCTGCAGCCTCCATGTGCTAAAGAGGTGCCCAAATGCTTTTTAGGAAGTAAGGGATGCCTGGATTAGACAGGGGCAGTCGCTTCTTGGTGTCACTCACACCCTGCTGTCAGACAGGCCAGCCAGCGGGCACACATGGCTCAGGTCTCACAGAGATGTTCTAAGTGATGGGGGAAGGTTATGGCTTCTCAAATCCCCTGGGATCCCCGTTGACAGTGAATATGCCCAGGCCTACCTCCCAGACCCACTGGGAAAAGAAAATCTAGGTGGGACCTGTACATTTGAAATAATTGCCAGGTGATTCTTTAGAGAGATTAAGTTTGAGAACTACTCGATTTACTATTCTCAAACTCAGACAAATCTGTTAGTGAACAGTTGAGCAGTGGCTTTTGCTGATAATAACCACAGTGAGCTGTCATCTTCGGAGCCTCTGACCTCCAGGCCCCTACTACACATTCCTCTATTTCTATATGGTGTTTGAAACTGGGGTAAACTTAGCTCTGTTCCCTTCTGCAATGGATCCGGGAGAAAGCAAGGCTTTCTGATTACTTGTCACTGCTGGACGTGCCATATCCCTGAGCATCTCCCTGCATGCTGACGGGTGTGGGATCAGGGCCAATGGTAACTGAGGCGCTGCAGCGGCCACCACCCAGCGGTGAGAGGCCAGGCGGCTCTGGTGTCTGGGGCCTTCACATTCAGAAACGCACTTGCACTCTGCCCTGCCTGGCCTCTCGAATGTATTTTACCACACTGGGTCTTCTCTTTAGTCGGAATGTCTTTAGCCAAATATAATGAAAAATGCTGACCTGACTTGCTAATGGCTGTAAGGAGAGGATGGAATTTGTTGGAATAAAAGAAAAAGCTTACAAATGAAGGCAATGATGCTCTGTTCAGAACTCAGTCATTTAGCTTCTGGCTAGTTGTGGCCGAAATGACACTCAGGGAGGCCCCAGCCAGACATCAACAGGCTGTCCACCTCCACACACAACTCGGAGCTCCCCTGGGAATTCCAGCCATTCCCAACCATCAGGGCGCCCCCACTGTGACCCTCACTGCCCTGCATTGGGGCTCCAGGCAGAAACCCTGCCTGTGGCTTACCGGGCCATCTCCTTGGTCTCCTGCCGTGCAGTTGCCGTCTTGATCATGTCCCTCAGAAGGGGCATCCCACCTTCTTTGATCAACAGTGGGCAGTACTTGTCCGCTGTGGGGTAGGGGCAGACAGCAGCGATGAGGGGGGTCTTCTATCAGCCTGTGGCCCAGAGACCCGCCTGTGAGGACTGCCCTCTCTGAGGGGTAGAGGGAGATGCAGGCCTGGGTGAGGCCCCGTCTGCCAGCCCTGTGGGCCTGAGCTCCTGAGTCCCCCTGGAGGAAGTGGGGGGACCCTTGGAAGGGGTACTTTGGTTTACAGTCACATTTTTTTCCAGAGTATCACCCAAACCAGTGGCTTCTAGTCTCTGAGAAGTTCTTATAAAAATACAGATTCCTAAGCCCTGCTCTTGGGCATTCAACAGACCCAGGAACCTGTATTCATTTGCATTTTGAACAAAATACCACCAGATGATGCTGGTGACCAGCCGGGTTAGAACCATCATGCCTTCCTATTGGGTGGCTTCATGGTTTACTCCAACAAAGAACATTCTGGCATTTGGTATCCAGGGCATTATACTCTATGGAGAATATGGGTGTTTCAATGGGCCTGCATAGCTCCATGTACTAGGAGCTATTTTTGTTATCTCCATTTTACAGAAGAAAGAACTGAGGTTCAGAGAGAGAAAGCAATTCACCCAAAGTCACTCCAGAGGCCTGTCCAAGGGACCCCAGCTCAGGGCATTTTCCTCTGTGCTGTGCTACTCTTTGCAGTAAGGTGTTACTTTCTAGTAAGACTAACTTCAAGTAATAATAAAAAAGTTGAATGCCTATAAACAGTTGGTATGTGCCAACCACTGTTTTAAGCATTTTACATGTCTTGTTTCACAGCAACCCTTTAAGTGCTACTACCATCCCATTTTAAAATGAGGCAATCAAGGCACAGAGAGGTTGAGAAACTTGCTCAAAGTAGCTCAGCAAGTGGAAAAGGCAGGTTTCAAACCCAGGCAGCCTGCCCTCTTATCTGCTCTGCTGGCTAATGGGACTGAGGCAGTATCTAGGCACTGGGTTCGGCATTTTATGCTGGTTTTCTTTTCACATCACTCTTATGAGGTAGGTATTATCATTACCCCATTTTATGGAGGAGGAAACCAAGGCCCAGAGAGGTTAAATAAGCTGCATGAGGTCACATGACTAGTAAGGGAGCAAACGAAGGGCCAAAGGTGGTCTGCAGTCCGTCTCGGGCTGCTGCCCCCTCTTGCTCCTCCCCCCAAAACTACCAAGCAGAGGATATTTCAGGCTCTTCTATAGGAGGGTGGGACTCTCTTTGAGGAAATAAGACAGTTGTTTTAAAGGTCTTTACTATTCCCTCAAATATCTGTTTCCTCAGGGGCTAGGTTTTCGTTTGGATTGGTCTACTGTCTTCCAGAAGGCATGAAGATTTTTGACTATTTACTCATACGGAAGCAGAAAGCATTAAGAGACTGTTTGGGAACTCTGGAGGGGCTATTGTGCCAGCCAGCCTTATGCTGGGCATCCCACAAATGCCAGCAAGCCCAGGCTGTGCTCTGAGGCAGACACTGACACCATCTCTCGGTGCTACCCAGCCTCTGGTATAAGCTCCATGACGACAAGTCTGCTTGTGAGTGTCCCTGTATCTGAATAAAAGGTGAGTGGGTACTCACGGTAGACAGACACAAGGTTGTACAGGGCCCAGGTGGCCCAATGCTGGCTGACAGGGGAGATGCCCTGGGGAAGAAGGCGAAGAATTGGCTCAAATGACCTGTAGAAGAGAAATCAAGGTCACTTTTGATGCCAGAGTTTGAGGGAGGGCATCTTCTCTTACTGGAGGTTTCTCCTGCTTGAAGTGTCCTCTGGACAAAGCATGAGCAGGCTGCTGGGATGCAGGGGATACAGGCATCTGGCCCTTCCGCCCTCTTCAGGCTACACAAAGGGAGCCCCCATGTGAGAGAGGCCAAGATCATGGACATGTAAGGCAGGAGGTGGTACAGAAACTGGGGCCTCAGCAAGGAAGGCAGAGCCAGCAGGGAGCAGATGAGAGTGAGTGTTAACTCCTACCGGGCCTTCTACAGGCCTCCTGGAGCCATGCTCCCAAAGCCTGGAAAACACCTGTGCAAACCGCTGGGCCGAGGATTCTGTGCCACCTCTCCTAGGAAATGATGGCAACTGGAGCATCGGCAGAGCCGCGAGCATGTGCCCCTTCCTCCCAATACGGGTTTTCAGTGTGAACGTCCATCAGTACGAGATGGTCACACACACACAGTGACCCAGTCATAAACTGATGAGTGAGACGCACCCTGTGACTACAAATTCACTCATGAGGTGGTAAGACAATGCCAGCTGGACTGAAAGGAATTAAGTCTGTGCAGAGAAAAACTGCTGGGAGGGGGCCCCCAGAATGCTAGCAGGGGCTTGCTCTCAGGGGATGAGATGATGAGTGGTTTCTGTTGTTTCCTATTATGTGTCTTTTTTTCGTTTTTCTTTTCTACAAATAAACATGTATCAAGTGTTTGTAAACAGCAGGCTTTGGGTACATGCGTGAAACATGCACCAAGCTATACAGGTGTGATGTGTATCTTCCTGCTCTGTGCTCGTGTGGACTATACACAATATGTGAGACCTGATGGGGGCCCAAAGAAAGGGAAGCAGCTCCGACCAGACCTTGTTGGGAAGGAGCACCCTGTCCCGCACCCACCCCACTTCCACACCACACCCTTGCCCCTCGGCACCTGTAGTTGATATTTCTCCGTGAATTGATGTCCCAGCTCTGGATGGCTGCCCACATGCGCTCCTCCACCTCCTCCCGCCGGGGCTCACAGATGCCCCAGGCCTCGGGCCCATCAAACATGATGTGGGAGAGGACGCCACAGGCGTTGTAGGAAACCTCAATCCCGTCGGCCTTACTCTCCAGAAGGTTGCTGCCAAAAATAGAGAAAAATGGAGCCCTGGTCCCCAAGTCTTGCTGCAGATACCAGCTGCTGGGCCCCAATTTACAAGTCAGATGCCAGAGGTGCTATTGGTTTATCTGTCTCTTATTATCCACATCCAGATGACTTCAGGATTCGAGGTTGCTTAGGATATGACTACAAGAGGGCCATTTATGGAGGTTGAAAGAATAAAAAGCCACATTATAGAGAGAAGGTGACATTTAGAACTGAAAATTAGGCTGCAAGTGAGTAAGGACCAGAGCTCTGAGCCTCCTGGCAGCCAATGTAAAAAGGGAAAGGAGAGAAGTACCAACCTGAAGACACTGATGAATTGGGAAGTCATTAGCTGGGGCCGCAGCTCCTTCACCTCTGCCACGTTCCCTAAGAGTCCTAGCATATTCCGATGCAGTTCCTGCTTCTCTGGGAATTCCTGGCAAAATAGAGCCATTGGGTCCACATCAATTAGTACATAATTAGTGTCTGGCATTGTTAGCCTAGAAGTTTTATGAGTATCCATCTGGCCCATTCTAACTGTATAAAGAGGGGGTGCAGTATGCTGCCCTCCTCCCTTCTTGTGCACTTAGGACAGTACAAGAGATTAAAATGGTGGGGGCTCCTTGCCACAAAATCAAAGGCTGAGTGGAGATCTGACCTATCAAACTGCCAAAAAGGCAAACATGGTTCTATTTACCAAAGCTCAAAATATTAGTTTAAGGGACTCCTCTTAGAGACTAGAATAAGAAAATAAAGGACGAGTATTGGGATAAACAGACCATCCCACTGGACAGAATTCTGTCCAGCTGATATCCTAGTGGGCCTCAGCCAGACCGTGGGCTGCCTGAGGAATCACTGAAGAGCAGGCTGGGGCTGGGTCTCCCTCGGAGGGAGGGCTCCACGAGGGCCCGCCAGGCCATGTGGGCCGGGAAGGCTCTGGAGCCCCTGTTAGCAGAAACCCTGGGTGGTGCGCACCGCCCTCCCACAGGATTTGTGGGGAGAGGGGTTGCTGGCGGATTTGCTGATGGGGAGCCTGGGGACAGAAGAAAGGCTGTGTGGCCACACGGAGGCTGTGCCACGGGAGACAGGCTACCTTCAGGCAGTCCAGGAAGAGTTTCATGCCGTTGAAGTTGAGGAACATCTCACAGTTGTCGGGCGTCTCGTCCGTGATGTTCCACAGGGCGCTCCAGGAGAACTCCATCACCTGGTCACACTGAGGGGGGCGGAGGGCTCAGTGTGGGCTCCTGGCACCCAGTGTGGGGGTCCCCTGGCAAAACATGGACTCCCCCTAGGGGCGAACCAGTCCCCTCTCGGGCTGGGGAGGGGCAGTGTTGCTCCATGAAGCCCTGACTTACTGTCTTGTCCAGCAGCTTCTTCTGAATCAGCTTCAGCATGGTCTGTGGGCAGAGAAGAGAACTCACAGGGGGCGGGGGCTCAAGAGCTACCCTGTCCCCCAAGAACCAAGACAGAGAGAAGAGTCAGCAATTCCGTTCCTGGTTAATACCTCCTGACAAGACCAAATCTGAGTATCTACTTGGGAGGCTGTTTGAAGAAGTACAACCCACAGGTGTGGTGCTTGGCATGGAGGCCTGGGTGCTAGTCCTGGCTCGGCCCTGACTCCCTGTGTGGCTTTGGGCATGGCCTCCCTCTCTGGGGGCTTCAGCCTCACCAGAGACAAAATGAAAGGAGGAGACTGGATGTTCCTTCATCATTCTTTCCTTCCCTTCTTCAGCAAGTATTTATTATCTCCCCACATGTCCCAGACCCTGTGCTAGAAGTGCTGGGTATGCAATGCTGGAATGAACAGCATGGCATCTTTCCCTAAGAGCTCACAGCCCTGCCATTAAAACAGATAGTCCTTCATATGCTTGCTTAATCCTAGCTGGGAAAACCTAATGGGCTACCTGGTCTGAGGAGGCAGGAGTGACTTGGATAGTGGGACCAGTGGGACACATGGAGGAGTTGGGAGAGGTGACAGAGTGTCCTCGGTGGAAGATATCTATGGGGCTTGTAAGCCATTCACTGTGAGGCAATTCTTCCTTTCGTCCAGCCTAAATTCCTCATGAGACAGTGGGGTATGGAAGGGGTGGGCCAGCACGCATGCACGCACGCACCACCACAAAGCCCATCTTGCCCACGGCCTCCTTGTGGTCATTGTCCACCTGGCAGACCAGGGCATTGCACAGGTGCACGGCGATGCGCTGGATTGACTCATCCTGCCGCGTGGGGTTGAGGATGCTCAGCAGGAGCTCATTGACCCGGCGGTACTGGAATTCCAGCTCCTCAGGGATGTTGAAGTTGCAGAGGGTCAGGCAGCAGTTCCGCTGGACCTGGGTCAGGACAGGAGACAGGCAAGCACAGTCAGAGTCAACTCGGAGGCTGAACCCGAGGGGCTCTCTATAGGTGTGAGATCACCAAGAGCTGTGGTAGTCCAGGAAGCCTTTCTGAAGAGGACACTATCAAACTTTTATTTTTCAAACATTTTTTTAAAAGTGAAATATAATATTCATTCAGAAGAGTGCATATAAGACAAATGTACAATTCTATAATTGTAAAGCAAACAAGCTTTTCAACAACCCGACTAAAGATACCACTATCTCTGCTTTTCTATTTGGAAGAATCTCTAGCATCTTGTTTCTTTTTGTTCAGTCATAAGTTTGCAAGATCAACCATGTTGTATGTAGCAGAAAGGCACTTGCTTTTTCATTGCAGTATAGTATTTTAATCTGTTCCTCCATTTCACTGCTGGTGGGTGTTTGAGTGGACTTCCAATTTGGCTTCTTAAAACAATGTCTTGTACGTGCATCCTGTGTCCATGTGTGTGGGCTTCTCTAGGGCACATGTGAGGGGTGGAGCTTCTAGGTCATAAGTGTGCATGTCCTCAACTTTCCCAGGTAACACCAGACTACTGTCCAAAGCTGCTGCAGCAGTTTTCACTTCCACTGGCAAGTGAGTTCTAGTTGCTCTAAACCCTCAGTTTCTCTTTGAGTTGTCTGTGGGCTTTTTAAATAATCGTTTTAACAATATTCTTAATGCATTTTCCTCGTAACTTAATTTCCTTCCATCCTTCCAATATCTAATATTGGCAGTTCACCATACTTCATTAACTGTGTAATTTAGAGGATATTACCCTTAGTTAACTCTTTGTCTCTCCCCTCACATACACATTTTTAAACATCTGAGACAAAATTTTTTTTTTAATTATAAAATACTCACTGAAAAATGTTCAAATAATAATATCTGAGCAGAGAGTTAAAGTTCCTCACTTCATTCCCCAGAATGTTTAAAATTTGGTGCATAGCCTTCCAGATTTTTCTACCATGCAAACACAAGTATATATTGGGGAGAGTGAAGAGACAAAAAAATATATATACTCTTAAAACTTATCTTCACTCATCAATATGCAGTTGTTGTAAAGACATCTTTACAACATTAGGATGTACAAATTTACCATAATATCTCACTGTGTGGGTGGGTCATACATTATTTTTCCAGGGCCCTGGTACTAAAACATATCAGTTTCCTCTGATTTCTGTTTAATCAGAAAGGGTGGATTTAAGTATATATTTTCCTTTAAGTAAATTTCTAACTGTGGAATACCTAGGCCAAAAGATAAAGGCATTTACAGTCTGGGCAGGTTCTGCCAGTTAACCTGCAGAAAGGTTGTACAATCCATCCCTCACCCGTGGGAACTGCAAGAGGGCTCTTCCGCCTACTCTGGTCAACTGTGGATATCATCAGTCTCTTGAGATTTTACGTGCGCTTTCATTATTTTAATTTCCATTTCTTTGATAGAGTTGATTAATTCATTTGGGAGTCCTCAACCAGCATTTTTTCATTAAAAAAATGTAAAAAACACCATTTTTCATGGATTATAAAATCTATCTCAAAGTAGTAAAAACAGTTGCTCTATAGCCTTGAATTGACAGGCAGAGGGAAAGGGGGTCTTCTCATTGCTGCGGAGGCTACATCCCACAATAGCCTTCGGGGAGGTCAGTTTGAGAATACATACTAAATGCTTTATAAATACAAACACTCACTGTCCCAGCAATTCTACTTTTAGACCTGTTATGTAGTCAGCAAAGCTTTATTTCAAATAGCAAAAAATTAAAAAGCAAGCAAATGTTCAACAGTGGGGGCTCGTTCAGTAACCAGAGGCCACGTGTTCAGGAGTGGGGGGATGGGGCTTAGCCACTGCCTCTGAGCTCCAGCACAGAGTCGCCACCGGGCGGCTTCTCCCTGAATACTGAATGTTGGACCTCATGCTGACACCGACAATTACAAAATTGAACCATTACAACCAGCTGTCTGGGGGAGGAGAGCTGCAATTGTGAACAGCTTTCACTTTGTAGTTAATACATTTTCATATTACTCAGATTTGTTTCCTAAGCATTAAGTATCTTACTTTTGTAATCAGAAAACAAACATTATTTAAATATTTTTCTTGTAAAAATGTTGATAATGGGAGATGTTCACATTCACAGGACACTGCTGAAATAAAAATCCACATTACACAAAGGGTATGCATAGAATAATCCCATTTACCAAATGTGCAAATGTGCATAGACTAAAATTCAGAACAGTAGATATCCAATGTTAACAGTGGCTGTCTCTGGGTGGTGGGGTTATGAGTGTTTTCTTCTTTATATCTATAATTATAATTTTTCTACATACAGTACATTTTTTTATTACTTTCATAATAAAAGCAGCTATTGAAAAAATACCCAAGAGAGTATTACTGGGCAGAAGGGCTGAGGAGTCAGCATGAGCAGAGGCCTAGAGGCAGGACAACAGGGTTCCTGGGGGGAGGGCGGCAGTGGGCGATGGACCGCTCAGTGGGGCTGGGTTATCGGGCCCCAGAGTCTGGGAGCAATGCTATGGAAAGGGGGAGTTGGGCGGGGCACTCCGTGCCAGATGAGAGAGGGTGAGAGCAAGCATGGGACCCTGAGGGACCTACGGGCCGTTTGCCGAGGCTGGGGCATGGGTGGCAGGAAAAGGGTGGCTGGGCCAGAGCGTGCAAGGCCATAGTGGGCAGGGGGCTCACCGTCACCTCCTGGTAGGATTCCATGCCGTTCAGCACCACCTGGATGACCTGCCGGCGCAGCCTGACGCTCTGCTCTGAGCGGTACTCGGAATTGGTCAGGTAGAAGAGCGCAGCACTGCCTGTCACTTGAATGTTCTTGTCGTACTTGTGGCACTTGAGGGCCGCGATGACCAGCTGTGTGAAGACAGGGTACGGCCCAGGTTGGCAAGTCCTGGTAGAGTTGCACAGGGACAGGCCCAGGGCTCTGCGAGGGGCTGGGACAGGTCCTCTGGGTAGGGCTTACCCTGGTCCCGCTCTGAGGGCACAAGGGCAGGTTGGGCAGCAGAAACCAGGGCAGGGCCATGGTTCTGGGGCAAGTGAGGCACTGTGGGGCAGGCTTGGGGCTCGGGAGGTAGGACTGCCAGTGTCCTGGAGGCAAGGAGAGGGTGTAGAGAAGGGACAGGGCCTCAGCAGCCAAGTCCAGTACCCCCCGGTGGGGAGGGACAGGAAACTAAAGGACTCCCCCACCGGGGTTGGGGCTGACCTTCAGGGCCCGCAGAAGTTGGTTGCAGCGCTCGATGCGTGCGATGTCAAAAAGCAGGTTGATGGCCCGTGAGGTGATCTCAGGTCTGTGCTCTGTGTAGGCCTCAATGGCGTTCAGCACCTGCTCCTCGTTTTTGTCCCCACTTACCTGGGGATGGAGCATGCTTAGGACCACCCAGAAGAGACCAAGTGGTGGGATCCCCAGATCCCAGCTACATATCTGGCCCCAGGGCAGATACTCTAGGGTCCCAGCGCAGACCCTTCCCTCCTCCCAGGGCTCCTCATTCCACCCACCCCATCCCCTCACTTTGTAGGCTGGAATGTGCGTGAGGCGGCACAGGGAGGTCTCGAAGAGCCCAAGGAACTGCAGCGGCCTTTTCAGAGCCCGGAAGGGCATGATGCTGCTCTTGGAAGGCTCGATGCTGGGGGAAGAGGGTGCTGAGGTCAGGGGCTGGGGGATGCACTGCTTCAGCATGAAGGAGCATTTCTCCCTGAGGGTGGCTAGGCATTTACCTGGGGTCCCCTTCTAGGCCCTACAGCCTCATCTTTTTTTTCTTTTTAGGGGAAGGGACACCCCTTAATGGAAGTATGGCAAGAACACATTGTAGAACATGTGGGATGGGAGATGTTGCTGCCATCTTCAGAAAATATCACCTGCTGTTCTAGTGAAGATGTGTCACCTTTGGGTCCCACCAATAATCATGAAGGGACATGCCCACCAACCAAACCCGGCTAAAATGTGGCTGGGGATTGGGCTTATGACCCAGTATAGCTGGATGGGTTTGAATCGGATCTCTCAACTAACCAACCCAGAAACCAACCCATCTGCTACAATACCTCATGCATGGCAGAGACTGCCAGCCTCATATTACCACCACAACTGTCTCTGGCCAGTCTGGGCGTCATAATTCCCCAGTCACTCTTTGCACTTGCACCTTCCAGCCTTTGCACATGCTGTTTCCTCTGCTAGAACACCCTTCCTCTGGCAAACTCAGAATGAGATCTCGTGACAGCTTGGATGCCATTCCTCCTCTGTCCTCCTTCCTGGTCCTCAGGGCAGCCCTGAAGTCTTGTGCTTCTCCTACCAAGCCCTAATCACGACTTGTCTGTCCCCACTGGCTCACATAGACTCCAGAGAACAAGGCCTGATTTGCTCCTTTATCTCTAGCACCTAGCAGGGCACTTGGCAGAGGGGCACTAGGTAAATGCTTGTTGAGTGACACCCTGCCAACAAGCACGGCAGGTGGGTCCCCACCTGGTCTGCCCGGCTTCCTCGTCCATCTTGGAGATGCTGCAGTTCTCTAGGATCATGTGGCCAGAGATGTCCAGGGACATCAGGTTCCCCAGTTTCTGCACAAAGAGGCTCAGCACCTTTCGAGTGAGTTTGAACTTGTAGTAGCTGGAGAGGCGGTCTCGGGAGATGTCCAGGTGTCTGGAGATTGGGGTGGGGCCACAGGTCAGGAGCTGGACCCAGGTTGGGGCTGCCTCGTGGACCCCTGCTCTGTTGGTCTGTAGCAGGGGAGGGCCCATCCCTCCCCCTACAGAATGCTTCAGGGCATTCTGGGAAAAAAATCTCCTGGGACCCAGGTGTCCTGAACAGCCCTGATCCAGGTGAAACACTGGGTTTAAGGAACAGGACTGTCTCTTCCATCCCCACCTTCTGCCTGGCCAGGGGCTCACGGGCCTTCTGGGACTGATAACACCCACCTCCCCTGCCCGGCCCCAGTGAGCTCTGGGCTGCAGCTCACCGCAGCTTGTGCAGCTGGACAATGACACGGATGTGGTCATCCGACAGGTCCATGTTGTAGAGCACAAGGGACACCAGGCTATCTTTCCACTGAGTTAGGAAGGCCGCGTCGCTTGTCTGAATGCCTGAGAGGTCCAAGGCAGCCAGCGAGTTGAGTGGCCGCAGCAAGGACTCGACGGGGACCCCATCGATCATGCGGCCCAAGTTGAGGAAGCGCAGGCGGTTAAAGCCCTCGAAGGTGAAGTCCTTGACCAGCACCTGGCAGGTGGGGTTGACGAGGCACTCGTCTTCACAGCCCCCTGGGTTCTCCTCCTCGTAGAAAATGTTTGCACAGCCGAAGAGGCTCAAGGACACCAGGGTGTGGCTAAAGCTCCTCAGCGTCTGCAGGCTCTTGGCAGACAGCTTCTCGCAGTTGGTCAGGTACAGCTCCACCAGGTCCTGGTAGCAGGCAGAGCTCTGTCATCACTGCCGCCCACCCCCTGCCCCAGGCCTGGGCTACAGGTGGGCTTGGGGAGGGGTCTGCACCATGGGGAACAGCACTGGAGGGGCCTTGGGATTCTTGTGCCGGAGGCAAGCAGCCTTGCCCCTGACTCGGTGTTGGGCGGTCTTGGGGCCCTCCCCACGGCCCTCCCCAGAGCTGATGATGCAGGTCTCACCTGTTTGCGAATGGCTTCCAAGTCCTGGTCCTGCACCAGGTCCTCCCGGAGGTGGATGCGGGTGAGGCGGGTGCTGCGGGGGTCCGAGAAGAGGCTGAAGAAGCTCTCGTGGGGCTCAAAGTTGCAGGCGGCATTGACCAGCTCCACGTACCTGAGGGAAAAGCAGGTCTCAGGGGAGAGGCACAGGGACCAGTCCTCCCCTCAAGGCCTGGCGCAAGCCCCCCCCTGNGGACCTGTACATTTGAAATAATTGCCAGGTGATTCTTTAGAGAGATTAAGTTTGAGAACTACTCGATTTACTATTCTCAAACTCAGACAAATCTGTTAGTGAACAGTTGAGCAGTGGCTTTTGCTGATAATAACCACAGTGAGCTGTCATCTTCGGAGCCTCTGACCTCCAGGCCCCTACTACACATTCCTCTATTTCTATATGGTGTTTGAAACTGGGGTAAACTTAGCTCTGTTCCCTTCTGCAATGGATCCGGGAGAAAGCAAGGCTTTCTGATTACTTGTCACTGCTGGACGTGCCATATCCCTGAGCATCTCCCTGCATGCTGACGGGTGTGGGATCAGGGCCAATGGTAACTGAGGCGCTGCAGCGGCCACCACCCAGCGGTGAGAGGCCAGGCGGCTCTGGTGTCTGGGGCCTTCACATTCAGAAACGCACTTGCACTCTGCCCTGCCTGGCCTCTCGAATGTATTTTACCACACTGGGTCTTCTCTTTAGTCGGAATGTCTTTAGCCAAATATAATGAAAAATGCTGACCTGACTTGCTAATGGCTGTAAGGAGAGGATGGAATTTGTTGGAATAAAAGAAAAAGCTTACAAATGAAGGCAATGATGCTCTGTTCAGAACTCAGTCATTTAGCTTCTGGCTAGTTGTGGCCGAAATGACACTCAGGGAGGCCCCAGCCAGACATCAACAGGCTGTCCACCTCCACACACAACTCGGAGCTCCCCTGGGAATTCCAGCCATTCCCAACCATCAGGGCGCCCCCACTGTGACCCTCACTGCCCTGCATTGGGGCTCCAGGCAGAAACCCTGCCTGTGGCTTACCGGGCCATCTCCTTGGTCTCCTGCCGTGCAGTTGCCGTCTTGATCATGTCCCTCAGAAGGGGCATCCCACCTTCTTTGATCAACAGTGGGCAGTACTTGTCCGCTGTGGGGTAGGGGCAGACAGCAGCGATGAGGGGGGTCTTCTATCAGCCTGTGGCCCAGAGACCCGCCTGTGAGGACTGCCCTCTCTGAGGGGTAGAGGGAGATGCAGGCCTGGGTGAGGCCCCGTCTGCCAGCCCTGTGGGCCTGAGCTCCTGAGTCCCCCTGGAGGAAGTGGGGGGACCCTTGGAAGGGGTACTTTGGTTTACAGTCACATTTTTTTCCAGAGTATCACCCAAACCAGTGGCTTCTAGTCTCTGAGAAGTTCTTATAAAAATACAGATTCCTAAGCCCTGCTCTTGGGCATTCAACAGACCCAGGAACCTGTATTCATTTGCATTTTGAACAAAATACCACCAGATGATGCTGGTGACCAGCCGGGTTAGAACCATCATGCCTTCCTATTGGGTGGCTTCATGGTTTACTCCAACAAAGAACATTCTGGCATTTGGTATCCAGGGCATTATACTCTATGGAGAATATGGGTGTTTCAATGGGCCTGCATAGCTCCATGTACTAGGAGCTATTTTTGTTATCTCCATTTTACAGAAGAAAGAACTGAGGTTCAGAGAGAGAAAGCAATTCACCCAAAGTCACTCCAGAGGCCTGTCCAAGGGACCCCAGCTCAGGGCATTTTCCTCTGTGCTGTGCTACTCTTTGCAGTAAGGTGTTACTTTCTAGTAAGACTAACTTCAAGTAATAATAAAAAAGTTGAATGCCTATAAACAGTTGGTATGTGCCAACCACTGTTTTAAGCATTTTACATGTCTTGTTTCACAGCAACCCTTTAAGTGCTACTACCATCCCATTTTAAAATGAGGCAATCAAGGCACAGAGAGGTTGAGAAACTTGCTCAAAGTAGCTCAGCAAGTGGAAAAGGCAGGTTTCAAACCCAGGCAGCCTGCCCTCTTATCTGCTCTGCTGGCTAATGGGACTGAGGCAGTATCTAGGCACTGGGTTCGGCATTTTATGCTGGTTTTCTTTTCACATCACTCTTATGAGGTAGGTATTATCATTACCCCATTTTATGGAGGAGGAAACCAAGGCCCAGAGAGGTTAAATAAGCTGCATGAGGTCACATGACTAGTAAGGGAGCAAACGAAGGGCCAAAGGTGGTCTGCAGTCCGTCTCGGGCTGCTGCCCCCTCTTGCTCCTCCCCCCAAAACTACCAAGCAGAGGATATTTCAGGCTCTTCTATAGGAGGGTGGGACTCTCTTTGAGGAAATAAGACAGTTGTTTTAAAGGTCTTTACTATTCCCTCAAATATCTGTTTCCTCAGGGGCTAGGTTTTCGTTTGGATTGGTCTACTGTCTTCCAGAAGGCATGAAGATTTTTGACTATTTACTCATACGGAAGCAGAAAGCATTAAGAGACTGTTTGGGAACTCTGGAGGGGCTATTGTGCCAGCCAGCCTTATGCTGGGCATCCCACAAATGCCAGCAAGCCCAGGCTGTGCTCTGAGGCAGACACTGACACCATCTCTCGGTGCTACCCAGCCTCTGGTATAAGCTCCATGACGACAAGTCTGCTTGTGAGTGTCCCTGTATCTGAATAAAAGGTGAGTGGGTACTCACGGTAGACAGACACAAGGTTGTACAGGGCCCAGGTGGCCCAATGCTGGCTGACAGGGGAGATGCCCTGGGGAAGAAGGCGAAGAATTGGCTCAAATGACCTGTAGAAGAGAAATCAAGGTCACTTTTGATGCCAGAGTTTGAGGGAGGGCATCTTCTCTTACTGGAGGTTTCTCCTGCTTGAAGTGTCCTCTGGACAAAGCATGAGCAGGCTGCTGGGATGCAGGGGATACAGGCATCTGGCCCTTCCGCCCTCTTCAGGCTACACAAAGGGAGCCCCCATGTGAGAGAGGCCAAGATCATGGACATGTAAGGCAGGAGGTGGTACAGAAACTGGGGCCTCAGCAAGGAAGGCAGAGCCAGCAGGGAGCAGATGAGAGTGAGTGTTAACTCCTACCGGGCCTTCTACAGGCCTCCTGGAGCCATGCTCCCAAAGCCTGGAAAACACCTGTGCAAACCGCTGGGCCGAGGATTCTGTGCCACCTCTCCTAGGAAATGATGGCAACTGGAGCATCGGCAGAGCCGCGAGCATGTGCCCCTTCCTCCCAATACGGGTTTTCAGTGTGAACGTCCATCAGTACGAGATGGTCACACACACACAGTGACCCAGTCATAAACTGATGAGTGAGACGCACCCTGTGACTACAAATTCACTCATGAGGTGGTAAGACAATGCCAGCTGGACTGAAAGGAATTAAGTCTGTGCAGAGAAAAACTGCTGGGAGGGGGCCCCCAGAATGCTAGCAGGGGCTTGCTCTCAGGGGATGAGATGATGAGTGGTTTCTGTTGTTTCCTATTATGTGTCTTTTTTTCGTTTTTCTTTTCTACAAATAAACATGTATCAAGTGTTTGTAAACAGCAGGCTTTGGGTACATGCGTGAAACATGCACCAAGCTATACAGGTGTGATGTGTATCTTCCTGCTCTGTGCTCGTGTGGACTATACACAATATGTGAGACCTGATGGGGGCCCAAAGAAAGGGAAGCAGCTCCGACCAGACCTTGTTGGGAAGGAGCACCCTGTCCCGCACCCACCCCACTTCCACACCACACCCTTGCCCCTCGGCACCTGTAGTTGATATTTCTCCGTGAATTGATGTCCCAGCTCTGGATGGCTGCCCACATGCGCTCCTCCACCTCCTCCCGCCGGGGCTCACAGATGCCCCAGGCCTCGGGCCCATCAAACATGATGTGGGAGAGGACGCCACAGGCGTTGTAGGAAACCTCAATCCCGTCGGCCTTACTCTCCAGAAGGTTGCTGCCAAAAATAGAGAAAAATGGAGCCCTGGTCCCCAAGTCTTGCTGCAGATACCAGCTGCTGGGCCCCAATTTACAAGTCAGATGCCAGAGGTGCTATTGGTTTATCTGTCTCTTATTATCCACATCCAGATGACTTCAGGATTCGAGGTTGCTTAGGATATGACTACAAGAGGGCCATTTATGGAGGTTGAAAGAATAAAAAGCCACATTATAGAGAGAAGGTGACATTTAGAACTGAAAATTAGGCTGCAAGTGAGTAAGGACCAGAGCTCTGAGCCTCCTGGCAGCCAATGTAAAAAGGGAAAGGAGAGAAGTACCAACCTGAAGACACTGATGAATTGGGAAGTCATTAGCTGGGGCCGCAGCTCCTTCACCTCTGCCACGTTCCCTAAGAGTCCTAGCATATTCCGATGCAGTTCCTGCTTCTCTGGGAATTCCTGGCAAAATAGAGCCATTGGGTCCACATCAATTAGTACATAATTAGTGTCTGGCATTGTTAGCCTAGAAGTTTTATGAGTATCCATCTGGCCCATTCTAACTGTATAAAGAGGGGGTGCAGTATGCTGCCCTCCTCCCTTCTTGTGCACTTAGGACAGTACAAGAGATTAAAATGGTGGGGGCTCCTTGCCACAAAATCAAAGGCTGAGTGGAGATCTGACCTATCAAACTGCCAAAAAGGCAAACATGGTTCTATTTACCAAAGCTCAAAATATTAGTTTAAGGGACTCCTCTTAGAGACTAGAATAAGAAAATAAAGGACGAGTATTGGGATAAACAGACCATCCCACTGGACAGAATTCTGTCCAGCTGATATCCTAGTGGGCCTCAGCCAGACCGTGGGCTGCCTGAGGAATCACTGAAGAGCAGGCTGGGGCTGGGTCTCCCTCGGAGGGAGGGCTCCACGAGGGCCCGCCAGGCCATGTGGGCCGGGAAGGCTCTGGAGCCCCTGTTAGCAGAAACCCTGGGTGGTGCGCACCGCCCTCCCACAGGATTTGTGGGGAGAGGGGTTGCTGGCGGATTTGCTGATGGGGAGCCTGGGGACAGAAGAAAGGCTGTGTGGCCACACGGAGGCTGTGCCACGGGAGACAGGCTACCTTCAGGCAGTCCAGGAAGAGTTTCATGCCGTTGAAGTTGAGGAACATCTCACAGTTGTCGGGCGTCTCGTCCGTGATGTTCCACAGGGCGCTCCAGGAGAACTCCATCACCTGGTCACACTGAGGGGGGCGGAGGGCTCAGTGTGGGCTCCTGGCACCCAGTGTGGGGGTCCCCTGGCAAAACATGGACTCCCCCTAGGGGCGAACCAGTCCCCTCTCGGGCTGGGGAGGGGCAGTGTTGCTCCATGAAGCCCTGACTTACTGTCTTGTCCAGCAGCTTCTTCTGAATCAGCTTCAGCATGGTCTGTGGGCAGAGAAGAGAACTCACAGGGGGCGGGGGCTCAAGAGCTACCCTGTCCCCCAAGAACCAAGACAGAGAGAAGAGTCAGCAATTCCGTTCCTGGTTAATACCTCCTGACAAGACCAAATCTGAGTATCTACTTGGGAGGCTGTTTGAAGAAGTACAACCCACAGGTGTGGTGCTTGGCATGGAGGCCTGGGTGCTAGTCCTGGCTCGGCCCTGACTCCCTGTGTGGCTTTGGGCATGGCCTCCCTCTCTGGGGGCTTCAGCCTCACCAGAGACAAAATGAAAGGAGGAGACTGGATGTTCCTTCATCATTCTTTCCTTCCCTTCTTCAGCAAGTATTTATTATCTCCCCACATGTCCCAGACCCTGTGCTAGAAGTGCTGGGTATGCAATGCTGGAATGAACAGCATGGCATCTTTCCCTAAGAGCTCACAGCCCTGCCATTAAAACAGATAGTCCTTCATATGCTTGCTTAATCCTAGCTGGGAAAACCTAATGGGCTACCTGGTCTGAGGAGGCAGGAGTGACTTGGATAGTGGGACCAGTGGGACACATGGAGGAGTTGGGAGAGGTGACAGAGTGTCCTCGGTGGAAGATATCTATGGGGCTTGTAAGCCATTCACTGTGAGGCAATTCTTCCTTTCGTCCAGCCTAAATTCCTCATGAGACAGTGGGGTATGGAAGGGGTGGGCCAGCACGCATGCACGCACGCACCACCACAAAGCCCATCTTGCCCACGGCCTCCTTGTGGTCATTGTCCACCTGGCAGACCAGGGCATTGCACAGGTGCACGGCGATGCGCTGGATTGACTCATCCTGCCGCGTGGGGTTGAGGATGCTCAGCAGGAGCTCATTGACCCGGCGGTACTGGAATTCCAGCTCCTCAGGGATGTTGAAGTTGCAGAGGGTCAGGCAGCAGTTCCGCTGGACCTGGGTCAGGACAGGAGACAGGCAAGCACAGTCAGAGTCAACTCGGAGGCTGAACCCGAGGGGCTCTCTATAGGTGTGAGATCACCAAGAGCTGTGGTAGTCCAGGAAGCCTTTCTGAAGAGGACACTATCAAACTTTTATTTTTCAAACATTTTTTTAAAAGTGAAATATAATATTCATTCAGAAGAGTGCATATAAGACAAATGTACAATTCTATAATTGTAAAGCAAACAAGCTTTTCAACAACCCGACTAAAGATACCACTATCTCTGCTTTTCTATTTGGAAGAATCTCTAGCATCTTGTTTCTTTTTGTTCAGTCATAAGTTTGCAAGATCAACCATGTTGTATGTAGCAGAAAGGCACTTGCTTTTTCATTGCAGTATAGTATTTTAATCTGTTCCTCCATTTCACTGCTGGTGGGTGTTTGAGTGGACTTCCAATTTGGCTTCTTAAAACAATGTCTTGTACGTGCATCCTGTGTCCATGTGTGTGGGCTTCTCTAGGGCACATGTGAGGGGTGGAGCTTCTAGGTCATAAGTGTGCATGTCCTCAACTTTCCCAGGTAACACCAGACTACTGTCCAAAGCTGCTGCAGCAGTTTTCACTTCCACTGGCAAGTGAGTTCTAGTTGCTCTAAACCCTCAGTTTCTCTTTGAGTTGTCTGTGGGCTTTTTAAATAATCGTTTTAACAATATTCTTAATGCATTTTCCTCGTAACTTAATTTCCTTCCATCCTTCCAATATCTAATATTGGCAGTTCACCATACTTCATTAACTGTGTAATTTAGAGGATATTACCCTTAGTTAACTCTTTGTCTCTCCCCTCACATACACATTTTTAAACATCTGAGACAAAATTTTTTTTTTAATTATAAAATACTCACTGAAAAATGTTCAAATAATAATATCTGAGCAGAGAGTTAAAGTTCCTCACTTCATTCCCCAGAATGTTTAAAATTTGGTGCATAGCCTTCCAGATTTTTCTACCATGCAAACACAAGTATATATTGGGGAGAGTGAAGAGACAAAAAAATATATATACTCTTAAAACTTATCTTCACTCATCAATATGCAGTTGTTGTAAAGACATCTTTACAACATTAGGATGTACAAATTTACCATAATATCTCACTGTGTGGGTGGGTCATACATTATTTTTCCAGGGCCCTGGTACTAAAACATATCAGTTTCCTCTGATTTCTGTTTAATCAGAAAGGGTGGATTTAAGTATATATTTTCCTTTAAGTAAATTTCTAACTGTGGAATACCTAGGCCAAAAGATAAAGGCATTTACAGTCTGGGCAGGTTCTGCCAGTTAACCTGCAGAAAGGTTGTACAATCCATCCCTCACCCGTGGGAACTGCAAGAGGGCTCTTCCGCCTACTCTGGTCAACTGTGGATATCATCAGTCTCTTGAGATTTTACGTGCGCTTTCATTATTTTAATTTCCATTTCTTTGATAGAGTTGATTAATTCATTTGGGAGTCCTCAACCAGCATTTTTTCATTAAAAAAATGTAAAAAACACCATTTTTCATGGATTATAAAATCTATCTCAAAGTAGTAAAAACAGTTGCTCTATAGCCTTGAATTGACAGGCAGAGGGAAAGGGGGTCTTCTCATTGCTGCGGAGGCTACATCCCACAATAGCCTTCGGGGAGGTCAGTTTGAGAATACATACTAAATGCTTTATAAATACAAACACTCACTGTCCCAGCAATTCTACTTTTAGACCTGTTATGTAGTCAGCAAAGCTTTATTTCAAATAGCAAAAAATTAAAAAGCAAGCAAATGTTCAACAGTGGGGGCTCGTTCAGTAACCAGAGGCCACGTGTTCAGGAGTGGGGGGATGGGGCTTAGCCACTGCCTCTGAGCTCCAGCACAGAGTCGCCACCGGGCGGCTTCTCCCTGAATACTGAATGTTGGACCTCATGCTGACACCGACAATTACAAAATTGAACCATTACAACCAGCTGTCTGGGGGAGGAGAGCTGCAATTGTGAACAGCTTTCACTTTGTAGTTAATACATTTTCATATTACTCAGATTTGTTTCCTAAGCATTAAGTATCTTACTTTTGTAATCAGAAAACAAACATTATTTAAATATTTTTCTTGTAAAAATGTTGATAATGGGAGATGTTCACATTCACAGGACACTGCTGAAATAAAAATCCACATTACACAAAGGGTATGCATAGAATAATCCCATTTACCAAATGTGCAAATGTGCATAGACTAAAATTCAGAACAGTAGATATCCAATGTTAACAGTGGCTGTCTCTGGGTGGTGGGGTTATGAGTGTTTTCTTCTTTATATCTATAATTATAATTTTTCTACATACAGTACATTTTTTTATTACTTTCATAATAAAAGCAGCTATTGAAAAAATACCCAAGAGAGTATTACTGGGCAGAAGGGCTGAGGAGTCAGCATGAGCAGAGGCCTAGAGGCAGGACAACAGGGTTCCTGGGGGGAGGGCGGCAGTGGGCGATGGACCGCTCAGTGGGGCTGGGTTATCGGGCCCCAGAGTCTGGGAGCAATGCTATGGAAAGGGGGAGTTGGGCGGGGCACTCCGTGCCAGATGAGAGAGGGTGAGAGCAAGCATGGGACCCTGAGGGACCTACGGGCCGTTTGCCGAGGCTGGGGCATGGGTGGCAGGAAAAGGGTGGCTGGGCCAGAGCGTGCAAGGCCATAGTGGGCAGGGGGCTCACCGTCACCTCCTGGTAGGATTCCATGCCGTTCAGCACCACCTGGATGACCTGCCGGCGCAGCCTGACGCTCTGCTCTGAGCGGTACTCGGAATTGGTCAGGTAGAAGAGCGCAGCACTGCCTGTCACTTGAATGTTCTTGTCGTACTTGTGGCACTTGAGGGCCGCGATGACCAGCTGTGTGAAGACAGGGTACGGCCCAGGTTGGCAAGTCCTGGTAGAGTTGCACAGGGACAGGCCCAGGGCTCTGCGAGGGGCTGGGACAGGTCCTCTGGGTAGGGCTTACCCTGGTCCCGCTCTGAGGGCACAAGGGCAGGTTGGGCAGCAGAAACCAGGGCAGGGCCATGGTTCTGGGGCAAGTGAGGCACTGTGGGGCAGGCTTGGGGCTCGGGAGGTAGGACTGCCAGTGTCCTGGAGGCAAGGAGAGGGTGTAGAGAAGGGACAGGGCCTCAGCAGCCAAGTCCAGTACCCCCCGGTGGGGAGGGACAGGAAACTAAAGGACTCCCCCACCGGGGTTGGGGCTGACCTTCAGGGCCCGCAGAAGTTGGTTGCAGCGCTCGATGCGTGCGATGTCAAAAAGCAGGTTGATGGCCCGTGAGGTGATCTCAGGTCTGTGCTCTGTGTAGGCCTCAATGGCGTTCAGCACCTGCTCCTCGTTTTTGTCCCCACTTACCTGGGGATGGAGCATGCTTAGGACCACCCAGAAGAGACCAAGTGGTGGGATCCCCAGATCCCAGCTACATATCTGGCCCCAGGGCAGATACTCTAGGGTCCCAGCGCAGACCCTTCCCTCCTCCCAGGGCTCCTCATTCCACCCACCCCATCCCCTCACTTTGTAGGCTGGAATGTGCGTGAGGCGGCACAGGGAGGTCTCGAAGAGCCCAAGGAACTGCAGCGGCCTTTTCAGAGCCCGGAAGGGCATGATGCTGCTCTTGGAAGGCTCGATGCTGGGGGAAGAGGGTGCTGAGGTCAGGGGCTGGGGGATGCACTGCTTCAGCATGAAGGAGCATTTCTCCCTGAGGGTGGCTAGGCATTTACCTGGGGTCCCCTTCTAGGCCCTACAGCCTCATCTTTTTTTTCTTTTTAGGGGAAGGGACACCCCTTAATGGAAGTATGGCAAGAACACATTGTAGAACATGTGGGATGGGAGATGTTGCTGCCATCTTCAGAAAATATCACCTGCTGTTCTAGTGAAGATGTGTCACCTTTGGGTCCCACCAATAATCATGAAGGGACATGCCCACCAACCAAACCCGGCTAAAATGTGGCTGGGGATTGGGCTTATGACCCAGTATAGCTGGATGGGTTTGAATCGGATCTCTCAACTAACCAACCCAGAAACCAACCCATCTGCTACAATACCTCATGCATGGCAGAGACTGCCAGCCTCATATTACCACCACAACTGTCTCTGGCCAGTCTGGGCGTCATAATTCCCCAGTCACTCTTTGCACTTGCACCTTCCAGCCTTTGCACATGCTGTTTCCTCTGCTAGAACACCCTTCCTCTGGCAAACTCAGAATGAGATCTCGTGACAGCTTGGATGCCATTCCTCCTCTGTCCTCCTTCCTGGTCCTCAGGGCAGCCCTGAAGTCTTGTGCTTCTCCTACCAAGCCCTAATCACGACTTGTCTGTCCCCACTGGCTCACATAGACTCCAGAGAACAAGGCCTGATTTGCTCCTTTATCTCTAGCACCTAGCAGGGCACTTGGCAGAGGGGCACTAGGTAAATGCTTGTTGAGTGACACCCTGCCAACAAGCACGGCAGGTGGGTCCCCACCTGGTCTGCCCGGCTTCCTCGTCCATCTTGGAGATGCTGCAGTTCTCTAGGATCATGTGGCCAGAGATGTCCAGGGACATCAGGTTCCCCAGTTTCTGCACAAAGAGGCTCAGCACCTTTCGAGTGAGTTTGAACTTGTAGTAGCTGGAGAGGCGGTCTCGGGAGATGTCCAGGTGTCTGGAGATTGGGGTGGGGCCACAGGTCAGGAGCTGGACCCAGGTTGGGGCTGCCTCGTGGACCCCTGCTCTGTTGGTCTGTAGCAGGGGAGGGCCCATCCCTCCCCCTACAGAATGCTTCAGGGCATTCTGGGAAAAAAATCTCCTGGGACCCAGGTGTCCTGAACAGCCCTGATCCAGGTGAAACACTGGGTTTAAGGAACAGGACTGTCTCTTCCATCCCCACCTTCTGCCTGGCCAGGGGCTCACGGGCCTTCTGGGACTGATAACACCCACCTCCCCTGCCCGGCCCCAGTGAGCTCTGGGCTGCAGCTCACCGCAGCTTGTGCAGCTGGACAATGACACGGATGTGGTCATCCGACAGGTCCATGTTGTAGAGCACAAGGGACACCAGGCTATCTTTCCACTGAGTTAGGAAGGCCGCGTCGCTTGTCTGAATGCCTGAGAGGTCCAAGGCAGCCAGCGAGTTGAGTGGCCGCAGCAAGGACTCGACGGGGACCCCATCGATCATGCGGCCCAAGTTGAGGAAGCGCAGGCGGTTAAAGCCCTCGAAGGTGAAGTCCTTGACCAGCACCTGGCAGGTGGGGTTGACGAGGCACTCGTCTTCACAGCCCCCTGGGTTCTCCTCCTCGTAGAAAATGTTTGCACAGCCGAAGAGGCTCAAGGACACCAGGGTGTGGCTAAAGCTCCTCAGCGTCTGCAGGCTCTTGGCAGACAGCTTCTCGCAGTTGGTCAGGTACAGCTCCACCAGGTCCTGGTAGCAGGCAGAGCTCTGTCATCACTGCCGCCCACCCCCTGCCCCAGGCCTGGGCTACAGGTGGGCTTGGGGAGGGGTCTGCACCATGGGGAACAGCACTGGAGGGGCCTTGGGATTCTTGTGCCGGAGGCAAGCAGCCTTGCCCCTGACTCGGTGTTGGGCGGTCTTGGGGCCCTCCCCACGGCCCTCCCCAGAGCTGATGATGCAGGTCTCACCTGTTTGCGAATGGCTTCCAAGTCCTGGTCCTGCACCAGGTCCTCCCGGAGGTGGATGCGGGTGAGGCGGGTGCTGCGGGGGTCCGAGAAGAGGCTGAAGAAGCTCTCGTGGGGCTCAAAGTTGCAGGCGGCATTGACCAGCTCCACGTACCTGAGGGAAAAGCAGGTCTCAGGGGAGAGGCACAGGGACCAGTCCTCCCCTCAAGGCCTGGCGCAAGCCCCCCCCTGAAAGCCTTCCCTTGTTGCCCCGGCAGCTACTTCCATCTCCTCCTTCTCTTCCTAGGAGTGACCTGTTTGGATCCTGACTACCTTACAGGTGAGATTAAGGGTGGCCCCAGGAACCAGAAGCACAAGGGAGACTTCTTGGTCATGAATGGCCTCTTTCAATAGCAAATTCCAAGCTCTTCCCCAAACTCCACCAAACTGTAGACACTTCTGTAACAAACATACACATGCACGTTCCTCATCTTTCAGCCAGCTTCTGGTCCCTTGATCAGCCCCTCCCAGAACCTTTCCCAGCAGGAAGATTAGGCCAAGGGATTTAAAGTTTCCAGCTGGGTACAGGGCAGGTATTCAGTAAAACCCTGCTGAGATACCAGCTGATACAAGAATCTTGGTGCGCTGGAAAAGGCTTTGGAGTCAAACACTCCGGAATCTAAACCCTGGCTTGACTGTTCGCTACCTGGGCAACTTCGCACAAGCAGCTGGACTTCCCTGGACCTCACTTCCTTCATCTGTAAAATGGATATAACTCTGGTCTGCAAAGGGCCCAGTCTAGTGCCTGGCCCACACTAAACGCTCAGAACATCATTACAAGTTGGGCTCTGTCCTCAGGTCACACAAAGATTCCCACTTTCATGTGCAACTGTCTGGTCTCCAATTTTCCATCTGGGCATCTAGACTGAACTCCCACTCAGTGAGTGCACACTATACTTTAGGAGCCTCTCTTAGCAGGGAGCCCCTTGGAGGAGCCACGTAAAGATTTTCTGAATGACTCAATCCCTGTCATGGATCCTCTATTTGGACACTGGAGTGTAAACCTGTATGTTATATGTGCACAGGCACGTAGGCCCCCTTAGAGGAGTAACTCACACCTTCAGTTTCACACTCAAACATACCTGGTGTTGCAGAAGCCCATATATATACACATACCCATTCCTTCATATGCATGTCCCTCCACACACTTACTACCATGCACACGTGTGACTTTACAGTTATGGATATACCATTATTCTTGTGCACTCATGGACACCCATGTGCATGTATACCCCTCATACACATGTGCCCACAGCCACCCCCCTGCATGGCGCACACCCAATGGTCCCCATCTCTCCATGCATGCTCATGTGAGACTCATGTCTCTGCCCCAGCCCTGGGCATGCTCACTCGTTGACGAGCCGGTCACAGATCTCGCTGGGCAGGAAGATGTCTGGATGTAGCCTCAGTGTCTCCTTGTCCAGCAGGCAGCCCAGTGTACCATCGAGGTTACGCAGGCAGAAGTCGCTGCAGAGGGCCATCAGGGACTCAGGGGTATCAGACGCCATGCTCAGGGCAGGCAGGTAGGCTACTTCAGGACAGGGGCCCCCAGGGGCAACGGTGACTCCCTAGCACTCACAGGATCATTGGCTGAGCCACAGCCTAGGGAAGGGGAAATAAACTGAATGAGCCACACATAAGGGCCAGAACCACCAGCTGTCCTATGGCCACTCTCTGAGTACAAAAATTAAGGCTCTGAATGTCATACTCAAATTAGCAGCTTAGCAGAGCCAGACCCCAGGACTCCTGACTCCTTTCCTGCCCCTCTCTGCTGTGCCACCACCTATGTGTGATCTGACCTGCAAAGAGCAGGGTGCCTTGTCCAAGTATTTCTATGCCTTTACAATGTCTGCGGGCAGACACTGTATGTGTTGGGGACCCAATGTTAGGTGGGTATAATAGGGGTTTTCATCAACAGCTACACTGGGGTGTCCCTTGTGAGGTAATCTAACTTGCATATAACTGTCACTATGTGAACACTTAATATGTGCCAGGGCTTTATAAACATGTCACCAATTCTCATTGTACAGGATTAGGAATGAAGGCTCTTCTCGAGAGAAATGAAAAGAGACATCCACATAAAAAGTTGTACATTAATGTTCATAGCAATATTATTCATAATAGTCAAAAAGCAGAAGCAACTCAAATGTCCATCAAGTGATGAACTGGTAAACAAAAATGGTATGGCCACACGATGGAATATTATTCAGCCATAAGAGAAATGAAGTCCTCATTCAAGCTATCCTAGACCTTGAAAACATTATGCTAAGTGAAAGAAAGCAATCACAAAAGGCCACAGATTGTGTAACTTCGTCTATATGAAAAGTCCAGAACAGGCGAATCTCTAGAGACACAAATCTAGGTTAGCGGTTGCCTATGGCTGGGAGGCTGGGGGGATGGGAATTCACTGCTAGCGGATGTGGGGTTGCATTCTGGGGTGAAGAAGATGTTCTGGCATTGATTGTGGTGATGGTTGCACGACTCTGTGAATATATCAAAAAACATTGAATTATCTACTTTAAATAGGTGAATTGTATGGTATAGGAATTATAGTTCAATAAAACTTAATTAAAAAATGAGGTCTGCTACTACCTTCATGACCTTGAGGTAGGTAAAGATTTCTTCAATAGGACTTGTAAGGAAAAAAAATGATAATCCAATATACACTGAAGTAAAGAAACTTCTGTTCATACATATGTAAAAACTAATTTTGAGATGGACCACAGACCTCTATGTGAAAGCTTTCTAGAAGAAAACATAGGAGTGTATCTTTGTGACTTTAGAGTAGTTGATAATTTCTTCAATAGGTCACAAAAAACCACAAACTATGAAGAGAAATTGATCAGTTTTACTGCCTCAAAATTTAAGACTGTTCATCAAAAGACATCATTAAGAAAGAGAAAGGGCAAGCCACAGACTAGGAGAAGCTATTTCCAATAAGATATCCAACACAGGACAGAATATATATTAAAAATATAAAAACAACTTCTACCGACCAGTTTTTTAAAAAAAGACATAGCATCCAATTTAAGAATGGACTTGAGCAGACATTCCATAAAGGACACGGAAATGGCCAAAAACATGGGAAAAGGGATCAACACCATCACTAGCGGGAAAACCACGGTGAGATGTCGTCCCACCCACTAGAATGGCTCGACTGCAAACGGCAGAACGATCCAGACAATGACACACCTCTACCACAGGGAAGCTATGGAACAGTGGGATGTCACCCACACTGCTAGTGGGAGTGCAAATTGGTGTGATCTGCATGTGTAACTGGAATACTGTGTGACACCATCTACCAAAGCTGGATATACACGTGTTCAATGTTCAGCGAGTCCACTTCCAGGTATATACCCATCAGAAATGCCCATATAGATAGATGTTCACCAAAAGACACAGACCGGAATGTTCATAATAGCCCAAACCTGAAAAGCCCCTGAATGTTCACTGGCCTTAGGATGAATAGTCACGGTATGGTCACCAACAAAATACTATGTGGCGTGCGAACACACACACTTCGGTCAACACACAGCCTGGGTGAGCCTCATAGTGCTTAGTGACAGGAGCCAGGCACAAAAGGGTATATGCTCGTATCCCATGCGGCTCCATTATGTATTACTCCATCAAGACAGAAAACAGGAAAATCTGTTGTGTGGTGGCAGAAGTCAGGACTGTGGTTACTTTGAGCTTGGCTGGGTGCTGAGAAGCTTCTAGTTCCTTATTTGAGTGCTGGACATACAAGCATGTTCAGTTTGTGAATATTCAGGAGCTGTGTATCATATGTGCACTTCAAAAAAATGTGTGTTACAATTCAATAAAAAGTTAAGAAAATAACCTAGACACCAAACAGGTCCACGTTTAGATGGGATGCAGGGTTAAGTGATGATCTGACTAGTAGTGCATCCTTGGCTACCATAAGTGGCTAACAGAATGAAGGCTGAATGTTCACATTTCAAATTGAGTGAACAAGATAGAAACCAATCAACCATTTATAGAACCAAGGACAGTCAGGAATTAATTCCAACCAGAGGCTACATCAGAAAGGGAAAAAATAGGCAGAACCCAGTTATGGTATGAGAAGTCAGGATAGTGAGTGCCTGTGCAGGGGGCCGGCCCTCTGGGGTGCTGGGACAGGTGTGCTCACTGGGAAAATCCACCGGACTGCCCACTCCTGCCTTGTGGGCCTTCCCTTATCTGTGTTATTTTTCTTATTTGTGGGTTTTTTCCTAAGTGCAGGCTCTGTGGGTAGACAGATCTATGTTTCAACCCAGTTCCACAATTCACTGGTAAATTACTTAACTTCTCTGATGCTTAGTTTTCTCATCTGGAAAATGGGGATAATAATCCCCACTTCACAGGGCTGGTGGGATGAGATGTTGGGAAAATGCTTAGGCTCAGGCTTGGCATGACAAAGTGTACGACAAATGGTGGTTAGGATCCCGTCTTACAGATGAGGAAACTCAGGCTCAGACAGAGACGCTCCTGGGATTTGGACCTGGTCTCTCAGATTATGTCACATCATCTCTTGGAGGGTTCTGAAGGAGTTCAGGGCCCAGCATTGGCTTCTTGGAGCCCCCTTGTCCATATTTGAACCTTCCAGCCTGCTCGGAAAATCCAGTGGAGGTCACAGAGCATGGTGCCCTCTAAAATCGCCAGCTGTAAGTTCTGGCACCACCACTTACTGGCGACTGGGCTCTAACAGCTCTGGAGTCAGGCTGACCCAGTTTCAAGTCTCAGCCCTGCTGCGTCAGAGCAGGTGAACCTGGGAAAGTGTCTTCCCCTGTGTCTCAGATTCTTCTCTGAAACAGGGGGCACTGTGTAAAGATAACACGGAAGGCTACAGAAAGGGCTTGGCATGGTGGCTGGCACACAGTAACTGCTCAATGAAAAGCAGCGATCACCATCACCATCACCAGCCCTTTCTCCCACTCACCTTCCGCACTCCCCGAGCGGGGCCGGGTCTGCTCCTGCCTGGCCCTAGGCCTGTGCTCCCTGGCCTGGCTCTCCTTCCCCGAGGCCCGTTGTGCTGCGTCCCCCTGGCTACACGACACCCTCGAGGGAAGCCACAATAAACTGGCTGCCTGGGCCCTGGGCATGGCCTTCCTTGGCTGTCATTCACCTTCAGATCCAGTGAGTCCAGTCCCCTCCAGCAGTCACTCACAGCCTCCAGAATCAGAACCAGCTTTCTGGCCTGCTCAGTGCCCTCTGACCCGCTGGCCTCCTGTTGTACTAGAAATCAGCCATAAGCACAGGGTCACCTTCAGACCTTTGCTCAGTCTGTTTGCTTTCAATGGGACCGTCCAAATTCCACTAATTTTCCCTCTTTCTACTCTAAACACTGCTCCCAGCCCCCAGGACACATTCGCTACTCTCCTCCAGGAAGCATCCCCCCAACCCTCCAGCCCCCTCTACCTCTGAACTCTCCTTCTTACTTATTTTGCTGCTGCTTATGCACCTCAGGCCTTAATGTCAGTGTCAGTTCCTCTGGGAAGCCCTCCCTGACCTGCCAGGGCTCTCCTGCTGTGTGTCCCCACAGGTCCCACCATAACAACAGACACCTTGGACTGATGCTGCTTCGATGATCCAGCCTCCTTGCCAGATGACCAGCTCCACGCGGGCGGGAGCTGTGCTGCCAGACATTACCCCTGCATGCAGTGCAGGTGGTTTATTTATTCACTTAGAAACTGTCTGTTCACCAAAAGCCCCCCAAAGATGAACAGGGCAGATGGCAGCACCTGCTAATTGCCCTCTGGCAGTGCCACCCCTGCTGCTGGGGGCTGGTGTGAGCTGGAGGTGGAAGGAGCTGTCCTCATCTTGGCATGGAGGCTGAGAGGCCCCGGGCTGGGGCCACTTGTGCCCAATCTAGCTGTAGGCTGGGCACCCTCGAGGGACAGTCATCTCTACCCCCAACTCCCACCCCGAGGGCTTCCCATTATCACGGCAGGCACTGGCCATCCGGGAATCTGGCAACTGAGGAGAGGGTGCTCTGATTATGATGGAACATGCATGGTTAAGAACTCTGTGTCTTTCTCCATCCCTTCTCTTGTAGGTTCTTGGCACCATCCTGAGCTTACACGGCATCCTGGTGGGTGTGGAACGGCATGAAGGGAGGGAGGGAACAGCAGAGCAAACAGCAGCAGCTACCACCTCCTCTGCCCTGGTTGCCTCCAGAGGTGGCGCTGAGCTACTCACAGGCTTTACTTCAGAATGTTACTTATTTAACTAACAAGTGACATTCCCTGGGATCCTGTTTGTAGCTAATTCACCATTTGAATAACAATTTGTCTAATGGTCCCTCCCACAGTCTGTGAGCTCTGGGAGGAGGGGAACCCTTTCTGTTTGCACACACCTGGGTCTGCAGGGGGTTGGGGGGGGAGGGGAGGCGATGGGAGCTGAGCCAGGCCTATGCCTGGCACGCGACAGAATAACGTTTACATTTTGCCAAGTTACCTCATTACAGCACCACGAGGCGGAGATTGTTACCCTCTTTTCTGATGTAGACCCCGGGGCTTGCCTGAAATCACACAGCTAATGAGAGTGGGATGCAATCCTAAACCCTACCCATGCTTCTCACCGAACCATTTCTTCCATCTATCCAACAGAAAGGAAAGAGAACCCAAGGTCCAGGGGAGACAGCATGAGAGCCTGCGGAGTCCGGACACCCGGCCGACAGAGAGCCTGGGGCAGCCAGAAGCGCCCAGCCAGGGGCAGCTGCCGCCCTGGGAAATATTAACTCAGGAATGGTTGGGGCGGGGTGGGGGCGGGGTGCAGTCAGAGGTGGGGGCTAAACGAAGGCCCTATTTACAGAGGCTGGGCACTTTTCAGGAGGGAGCAGATCACAGGCCAGATACTGGGCAGGGGGAACTGCTGTGAAGGGAATAGGTTAGGGGCAGGGGTCCAGGTGAGGGTCAGAGGGCCTCCACGGGGGTCGCCTGCAGACTTACGGCAGGGTGGGGTCTGCAGGGAGATGGGGAAATGGCATCAGGGAGGAATGTGCCTCACCGCTCACTGGTGCCACCTGGAGGCAGAGGGGCCTTGGGGCTACCTGGGTTCTCTGCAACCAAACCTAACGATCATACCTATACCGAGCACGTTATTCCAAGAACTCTGCTAAGTACTCAATATGCAGAAACTCATTTAATTCTCTCAACAACCACACAAAGCAGGACTTATAATATATAACTTACAGATGAGGCAGCTGAGGCTCTGGGTGGCGAAGTAATTTGTCATGGACTCTGTATATGTACATGGGTCTGTGTGTACATGCCGACACGTATACATGTATTCATTAGTTCAAGATCCAAAGTTTCAAGCTTTCCACGTATGTTCTCATTACTGGCACGGATAACCTATGCGGGGCACATTCTGTTTTCCAGGTGGGCAAACTACGGCCCAAAGCTGTGCAGTAACCTGCCCAAGTTCCCCATAAGGGCCTGGCTCTCTTTGCCATTATGTTGAGGGTAGGAACCGGCCCTCCGAGCCTCAGCTCTCCCTTTTGCTGCATGAGCCTTCACTGCCTCCTTACAACTCTGAGTGTCCTTGGGCGCTGAGCACAGATAATCAGGTATCACTGGAAACCATTCTGTGGGCACAAATCATGCTTTGGGCACAGGACTAGAAGCTTCCTGAGGCAGGGACTGGGTGTGATCCATAACATGGTGCATGGCATTGATTGCAGGTGAAGGAGCCTCAGCTCCATGAGGTCCGGGGCAATATTTACCAGCCTCAAAATTCATTAGGGTCTCTACCTGTCAATGTGCTGTGGACAGTATCTACTTTATGGGGTAGATGCCATGAAATAATGGCAAAAAGGTAGTAAATAATAATTACTGTGATTTCCTAAGAATAATGCTCGGAGGGACCCTTCTGTTCATTTCTGAGGCTGGAAACTTAGCTTCCCTGATTGAGCCAGCTACAGGATATCTGTCCTGAAGCTGAGGTACTGAAGCTGTCTGCCCAAAAATATGTCTGCAGAATCCTGATGGCATTCATGACAAGAACCATACCTCACTTTTGCAGAGAGCCTCAGAGTGCACTGAATTCTTTTACAACCTGTGTTTCACATCATCCTCCCAGTAGCCTTCATAATTAGCATACAGACAGGAAAACTCAGGCCCAGACAAGGAATGGGACTTGCCCAAGTTCACACAGTGAGCCAGCAGCAGAGCCAGGGCTTGTACCCAGGTCCCCAGATGGCTAGTCTAAGGTTCTACCCACAACAGCCTGCCCCAAGCTGCTGGCTCTTAGTATCTATGTGCCCCAACCTGTCATTTTCAAATCCTCTGGCTCAGTTACCCTACTCAGCTTATTACCTGAGCCTGATGACGTAGTCCAGGATTGGGAGGGGAGGGGGGAGATCAACCATTGTTATGCTTCCTAACAGGCAGGCTGCAAAATCTCAGCCTCCGATGGGCACTTCAGGGACCAACAGTCTCCATCAGCATATCAGCCACACACACCAACCACATGTCTAGGGCCAACACACACAGCCCTTCCCAAACTGTCTCCATGGCATATTTATGTCAACAACACCATTTACCTATTTTATGTGGCCGGATGGGGACTTGCTGGACTTCTTAAAAAAAAGCCCCCATCACCTTCTACTGGCATCAAAAAACCCAGGACCAAGCCACCATCCTAACTGTAGGTGACAGGAAGTTTCCATTTTGTGTCCTGCACTGTTCTCCAAAATTCCACTAGCTCAGGGAGGTGGCCAGAGCTGGTGTCACCACCAGCTGGTGCTAAAAGAAAAACTTTGGGGGAGATACATGCACACAGTTCCTCTTCCTCATCACCATTGCCATCATGACGACTATATACTAAGGACCTACTTGCGATGTGCTGAATAGTGCACTAAGCACGCCAGCGAGATCTCTCATTTAGCCCAACCCTACTTTACAGATGAGGAAACTGAGGTGGAAAAAGGCCACTTGCTCAAGTTCTGACAACCAGGCAGCGGCATGATCTGATTTAAATACAGGGCTCTGTGGCCATTTTGTATTTATTCCACCAATGGTAATTTCAAAGATGGAAAAAGGGTACTTACAACACCCAGCCAGAGCACAATGGCCATTTGTCATCTAAACAAATCTATATTTTCTCTGACCACCAGGCACTTAACTTAGTACAGTTCTGAAACGGTGCCCCATTAGACACCCTGTGACCATGCATTACAAGGACAGCCTCTGATATCCTCCCCACCATTATCCGGGCCCCAAACACTCTTCCCCCCCTTCACTCTGCTCTAGCCCTATGGCCCTTTTGCTGTTTCTTAAAATCATCAGATATATACCTCAGGACCTTTGCCTTTGTTGTTGAATGCACTGCCTCCAGAGTGCTGTATGGCTTGCCCCCCCCCAGCCCCACTCCCTCCAGGTCTCTGCTCAGATATCACATTAGAGACCTTCTCTGATTGCTCTCTCTCAAAAGGCGACCCCACTCTCTGGCCCTTCCCATGGCCCTTTCTCCTGTATTTTTCTCCACAGCCCTTATTGCCAGCCTACATATTGTATGTTTATTATCTGATGAATGAACCAATGAACTGAAACAGAGAAACCCCTCACCACTGGCAAACACCGCCTGCTCTAAGTACAGCCTTCTGCGACCCTTTTCAAAGCTGTCTTCAATGCTCACTCTCACCAGTTCAACCCTGAAGAGAAACATTCTGTGGGAAAGATCATATGAGGGAGATTTTCCTGTGGAGGCATCAGGCATCCCCTTTAAAACTGAAGGCGCTGTCAGGCACAGGCAAAGACTGGAAACCTTGGACCAAAGAGCAGCCAGGTCAAGTTCCACCCGCACAGCTACAGCGGCCAACACCATCAGTTTCACTTTCAACTCACCTTTCGGGCTCCACTGGCCCTCAGGTTTGCAACCCCAACCCATCCCGTTCCCACCCTGCTGGATTTCCCTGCACCATGTCATCCCTTTTGGGAACTGCTCCAGAATCCAAGCCGTCCCTGAGCTTTTAAGCACTGCTTTGGGGGAACTTAAGCTCATCCAACAGGTAGGAGGGGCAGAAGCTGGCCCTTTCAGCCCTACATCGATCCCCCATTTTGTAGGCGCATCTGACAGGGCGTCATTTTCTTTCTGGAGGACGGGAGCTCAGTTTTAAAGGCACGTTCCTCAGACCTGGCGGCAGGGGTAGAGAAGGGAGCCCTCCCACCGTTGGCTGAGAAGGACCTGTGCAAGTGGTTGCAGCGGCGATGCTGAGGCGCGGGAGGCAGGAGGGGACGCGGGGGGACGCAGTTACATCCCTCGGCCCCGGGAGCGGACGGGATGCTTCCTCGCCGAGGAGGAACGCAGGCTGCGACCCGGGAGACTCTTGGTCCGGAGCGCCTGGGCAGGCAGGGGACATCGTCAGGTTAGGGCCGGGGTCTGGCAGGGCCGGGGGTCGGCGGGGCGGAGCTTGCGATCCCGGGGACTGGAGCCCCGGGCGGGAGGGGGTCGCGCCGGGGGAACCCCGCGGCCGTTACCTTGCCCTTAGGGCTGCGGGCGGGGCGGAGGGCCGTAGGGTGCTGCCTCCGGGGCCCAGCCCCTCCCCCGATCCGGCTCCCACGGCTCGGAGCCTGCAGCCGCCGCCGCCGCCGCTGTCAACAAACCCTGGGCGCGTCACTTCCGCGGACGCCCCTTAGCAACAGCGAACGGGTTCCCCCGATGGGTCCCGGGGCGAACGCGGGCGGCGGCGGCAGAAGGTTCCGAGGTCCCGCCGCGGCTCCTGTCCCGGGCAGCTGGCTGGCTGCTGGCGGGCGGGGGAGCGGGTTGGGCTCCCCCCGGCCCCTAGGCACGCTCCTCCCGCGCTCCCCCCGGTCTGTAGGGGCCCGTTCCTGCGACACCGGGGTCGGGGCCCGCTCTCGCCCACGGTTCTCCAGAGCCCCGGCGATAGCAAAGGGCGGGCCTGACCCCGCCGCACCTCGCCAGCACCGACGGCTCTCTGAGCAGCCCCGGCGTCCAGGGAGCTCGCGCCCGCGCTCCCCGCGCAGGGACCTTCCGCCTCCCCGCGCGCTGCCCGCGCTCCAGCTGGAGACCGGCCACCTGGCAGCTCGGCCGTCGCAGAAGTCAGGAGTCGGCCTTGGCCCCTGCGCCTTCCTCAGCAGCTCCTCTTCCAGTCGCATAGTCCCGAGGATCTCAAACCAGGCCTTTCTCTCCGACCCCAGTAGTATCCGACTCTGTCCACCACCATTTCTTCTCTGGATTTCTGCAAAAGCCTACTGACGCAACTCTGCTCCTTCCCCCCACTCTCTCCACGGTTCCCGAGTGATTTTCCCAAAGCATAAATCTGCTTAGTACCCTTAACGTAGGCGACGAGGACGATCGGTCTCCTGTCTCCTCCAGCCGCTTGTCCTCCTTCCCCTACGTGCCCTCCCTTCCATTCTCCAATCCACACAGCTTAAAAGCATTTTGGGTTTTTTTTTTTTTTAGTGATCTCCTTCTCTCCCATAGGCTCAACTAATTTCTTTCCAACTAAACACAATTCTTACCCCCATTTGCATCCAGCACAATTCCTCTGCACCTTCTGGTCTGTTTGGATGCTATTTTCTTGAGGAGCCCTTTCTTGGCTGGTCACCCACCCCCATTCTAATAACTAGTTTTGAGATTCTTTTCTTTTGCATAGCCATCTTTTAGTCTTTGACGTTGTGTAACTATGTTTGTACAATTTCGGATCCTTTAAAAAGTCTATTGATTTCAAATTACCAAAGTAAGACATGCTTGTAAAAAAAAAAAAATCCAAACAATACAGAAATATTTGGTGGAAAAAATGAAAATCCCCATTCAAACCCCGACCCAATCCCAATTTCATTCCTTTCTCCAGAAGTGACCACTCGTAACAGTTTGGTGAGTATCCCTTTGGTCCTTAAAAAAAAAAAAACATGTTTACATAAGAAATAAATTCCTATGTTTGAGGAGAAAACATAGGAATAAGTCTTTGTGATTTGGAGTTAATCAATGGTTTCTTAGATATGGTTGCAAAAGTGTAAGTGACAAAAGACAATATAGACATTGGATTTCACCAAATTTACAAAATTAAAAACGTTTGTTCTTCAAAGGGCACCAACCAGAAAATGAAAAGATAGCCTACAGAATGGGAAAAGATATTTGCAAATCATATATCTGATAAAGAACTAGTAATCCAGATGTATAAAGAACTTATGACTAAATAATACAGAAGGAAATAACCCAAATTAAAATAGACCAAAGAACTGAATAGACATTTTTCCAAAGAAGATATACAAATGACCAAGAAGCACATGAAAAGATGCTCGATATCATTATTCCTTAAGAAAAAGTGGATCAAAACCATAGTAATATATAACTTTCTATTAGGATGGATATGATCAAAGAGACAGACAGTAACAAGCGTTGGTAAGGATATTGTGGGATTGATGGGGTTAATACATGATTCAAGTAAGGTAGAAATCAAATGTATATGCACACATGACTTGATTGCTTTTCCCACACTGTTGATGTGTAATCAAGGACTGATGAGAACCAAAGCAGTTCTCATGGCTCGGAGCCGCCTTCACACAGTTTTGGTATCCTTGAGAAGCGTTGCGTCCTTGGGCTAGACTCAAGGCCGAGAATGATGTTTGAGTTCATTGTACGTTCATTTATTCAATAAATACGAGAAATGCCTTTTCGGCATTATGCTTGAGCTGATATGCCTTGAGTCCCCTGGCTGGTCCTTTCAGGTCTTTGATGTCTATCTCATCGCGTCTCCTCCCTTGTCTGCGGCTCAGAAGCAGGGAGGGACCAAGTGGCGCCCGAACAGGGACAGTGAAACACAGAACCAGGAAGCTCCACTCTGGGCGACCCTTGAAACGCAGAGTGGGGAAAGCCCCAAAGATCATCGATCTGGTAAGGCTCCCGGGAAAGCATACGAGGGGACAGGATCGAGACGTCAGGGACACTATAATGGGCCAAACTGAAACTTAGGCGGCTAAACAGGATTATTTAAAATTGCTCCGTGCCCTCCTGAAAACATCAGGAGTGGAAACCCTAAGAAGGACTATGCTCAGCTTCACAAATATATTAAGAAATATTGTTATTGGTTGCCTCCACAGGGAACCCTCAGACAAGCTGATGGGAGTAATGTGTTAAAAGATTTCAAAAAGGCTCACAGACAGGAAAACATTATCCCTGTGCCTGTTTGGGTGGGTCAATAGTCCCTTAATAAAGAAAAACTGGCAGCCTTTCACACATTAGTTCAAGAATAGTTTCAGCTAGATAGATTAGAATTTTCCACAAGCCCGTGAAATTCCCCTGTATTTGTTATAAAAAGGAAGTCAGGAAATTGGACACTCTTACATGACTTAAGGCAAATTAACGCAGTTCTTAGACCTAAGGGGCCTTTACAACAAGGCCTCCATTTTCTGGCTATGATCCCAAAAGACTGGAATATGGCTATCATTGATCTTAAAGATTGTTTTTTACAATTCCTTTGGCCATAACAGATAGGGGAAAATTTGCTTTTACTGTCCCTTTTTTAAATTTACAGGCCCCTTCAGAAAGATTTCAATGGAAAGTGCTTCCTCAAGGAATGCTAAAGAACCCCACAGTTTGCCCAAATTAGGTGCATAGGACTTTTCAGACTATACGTGGAAAACGGCCCTCAGCTTATATCATTCATAATATGGATGATACTCTCATAACTCTACATAAACATCTATCTCTTACTAACATTCTCAATGAGACCGAAGTTGAATTAAAACAATGGGGCCTATAAATAGCTCCTGATAAAATACAAATACAATACTCAAGGGGAATAGAATTCAAGAAAATTCAATAATCCCTCGGAAAATTCAGATGAGGAGAGATGATCTTAAAACTTGAAATGATTTTCAAAGATTATTAAGAGATATCAATTGGATCCGACTGTTATTAAATATTCCTACTTATAAACAGCAACATGTCTTCAATACTTTGCAAAGACCCTCAGATCTTAATAGTCCTAGAGACTTAACCTTAAAAGCTGAAGAACTCAAGGAGAAAGAACAACACATTCAAAAAGCTCGATTATTAAAAATTGACTTACACAAACCTTTACTCTTATCAATTAACCTTGCTCCCCATTCAGAGCAGTCCCCTTAGTCCTTTCTCCTGTGTGATGTCAATGGAGCCTGTAATCAAGCCGACCCCTCAGACCAACATGTAAATAGCTCACTCAATTAACTCCTTTTCTAGGAGGCGGTTGCCCTGGAGCTAGGCCTTTCCTTGCTGCAGCCCCAGGGACGCAAAACAAGCTTGTGACTGGGATCAAGGCTCTAACAGCTAGAGGGCACACAGTCCCTGCACTTATCAGACGGGCAGGGGACTCTCAAGGAATGACTAAAGCTTGGGCAGAAAAAACTAGGAAAACTAACTGGGAGCAATTCGATCCCTAAACTCTAAAAAAGAAGTGTCTTATCTTCTGCACACAAACCTGGCCTCAGTACAAACTCTCTGATTAGAGAGGCTTGGCCCCTGAAAGAAGTATGCAATATAATGTTATGCAGCTAAATATATTTTGCCACAAAGAAAGAAAATAGTCAAAAGTTCCGTGAACTACTACAATATGGAATTGGTTTTCTAAATTCTTTTTTTTGTATATATATATATTTTAATTCATTTTATTATCATTAATCTATAATTACATGAAGAACATTATGGTTACTAGACTCCCCGCTTCACCATGTCCCTCCCCACAAACCCCATTACAGTCACTGTCCATCAGCGTAGTAAGATGCTGTAGACTCACTACTTGTCTTCTCTGTGTTGCACAGTCCTCCCCGTGCCCCCCCACATTATACATGCTAATCATAAGGCCCCCTTTCTTTTTCCCTGCCCTTATCCCTCCCTTCCCACCCCTCCTGCCCAGTCCCTTTCCTTTTGGTAACCGTTAGTCTATTCTTGGGTTCTGTGATTCTGCTGCTGTTTTTTGTTCCTTCAGTTTTTCTTTGTTCTTACACTCCACAGATGAGTGAAATCATTTGGTACTTGTCTTTCTCCACCTGGCTTATTTCACTGAGCATAATACCCTCTAGCTCCATCCATGTTGTTGCAAATGGTAGGATTTGTTTTCTTCTTATGGCTGAATAATATTCCATTCTGTATATATACCACATCTTTATCCATTCATCTATTGATGGACACTTAGGTTGCTTCCATTTCTTGGCTATTGTAAATAATGCTGCGATAAACATAGGGGTGCATCTGTCTTTTTCAAACTGGGCTGCTGCATTCTTAAGGTAAATTCCTAGAAGTGGAATTTCTGGGTCAAATGGTATTTTTATTTTGAGCTTTTTGAGGAACCTCCATACTGCTTTCCACAATGGTTGAACTAATTTGCATTACCACCAGCAGTGAAGGAGGGTTCCCCTTTCTCCACATCCTCGCCAGCATTTGCTGTTGCTTGTCTTTTGGATGGTGGCCATCCTTACTGGTGGGTTTTCTAAATTCTTTTAGTGAAAAATCTATTCTACTTACTGGGTTCTTCATTATCTTTGAAAATTGGGAAGTCTTAAACTAGACTCTCTGAGATAGAATAAATTTATGTTTTATAATACAGCCTGGCTTTAAATAACTGGTGCTAGAATTGTACTTGTATTTCAATTCCAGTCCCCTGGATGCACACAGTCCCTATCAGTTCAGAGCCTACATCGGCCCTTTTAGCCCTTTAAGTTACATAACCTTAACCCAGTTATGCAAACTGCTCACCCTTACGGTGTATTCTTGAAAACTGAAGTACTTTTAATCAAGTAAGCTAAAAAGAAAGAAGGCAATTGAATAATTGAATATTAGAATATTAGTAACTCAAATCTTTATATCAGTTTGTCTGTCTGTGTATATGTTTTTATATGAAAAGTGTTGCTAACTGTAGTCATTATGTCTCAATCTGTATGTTTGTGTGTCTAAGTGTGTAAATGAAAAATATTTTCCTACATCCGGATGGTATTAGTAAAAATTGATTTAAAGACAAGCGCTTGTGAAAATTGGGCATTCTAAAACTTCCAGAAAATTTAATAAAAAATGTTAAGCATTAATGCTAATTAAGTTTAACTGAAACAGACATGTCCTTATAGCTATCAGCTGCCGAAGTTTACTTAAAGTCATTTAAGTTAATGTTATCTGTTAAATATTTCAAGAAGATGCTTAAAGAAAAGCTTGACTTTGTCTGATGTTTGGTAAAAGTTTTATAAATAATCTAGCATAGTTCCTAAAAATAAGTAAACAAGTGTAGCAAATGAACATCTTAATAATAATACTGTATTAATGTATAACAGTGTATATAT